TAACTTCATCAAGCGTACACCAGAGCTGCGCACGCGATGGAGCCGTCCGTACGATTGCCAGCAAGCTGCCTGCGAAGACCTAGCGCTTATCCAGCCCTGGTTCAGCCTAGTTTAATTAATAAAGACAAAGTATAGTATCACAGATAAGGACACCTAGAACTTTAATAAGTCTAGCTTTATAATAGGCAAGATATCCTCTTAGCTTGTTATTACAGGCTTAGAGAAACCTAGGAAACAGAAGAAACTACAGCCTAGCAATTACAAGTAGGTTACCCTAGTACAAGGCGTTACTACAACAGGGCGTATTATCCTACCCTTCCTTATCTTTACAGGCAAGGTCCTAATCTCCTCCTAGTTTACTAGTCTACCTCGCAACTAGGTTGTCACAGTCTCTCCTACTAGCTAGACTAATAACAACGTCGCAATAGCATGGCTTAAGCACTTCAACACCCATACAAAGGTGACCTCTGCTAGGGCATATAGGCTGCTTATTATTAACAGCCATGAGAGCCACTGCTCAATAGAATTCCAGGACTACTGCAAGGAGAACAAGATTATCACTCTCTGCATGCCACCACACTCATCGCACCTCCTGCAGCCTCTTGACGTTGTCCCATACTCGCTGTTGAAGCGCCACTACGGCGACAGGATCTCGCTCTTAGCACGCAGCTGCATCTACTATATTAACAAAGAAACCTTCCTACTAGCCTTTAAAGTAACTTTTAAGAGGACGTTTACACTAGAGAATGTTCGCGCAGGGTTTCAAGGCGCTAGGCTAGCCCCACATAACCCTAAGGTTGTGTTATCAAAGCTTGATGTACAGCTACGTACGCCAACGCCACCTGCACCAGGCACTGTGGCCTAGGAGGCGCAAACACCACGCAACGCCCACGAGATAGAGGCGCAGTCAACGCTGATCCGAAATCGCATGCAAAATCATTGTAGGTCACCAGCAAGTTTATTAGATAAGCAGGTTAAGCAGTTAAGTAAAGGCGCTTAACAGATAGCTTATAATATAGTGTTAGTGCAGGAGGAAATAGGCCGCCTACAAGACGCTGTTACTACGCTTACAAAGCGCAAGACCTGTAAAAGGCGGTATGTACGCGTAGAGGAGACTCTAACAGTTAGTAAGGTATCTAACCTAGTTGCTAAAAAGGAGGGTAGTAGTTGTAAGGAGGGCAAGACGCCTGCAAAGAGGGTGCGCGCAGAGAGGCGCTGCGGCTGTTGCAGCGAAATTGGGCACAACTCCTGCACCTGTAAGGTAGAAATTAAGGACGTAGATGATAGCAACGCTTCTGAATAATATTATAATGTTATGTGTAGTATTGTAATTTATTGTAGTGCTGCGCTGCACTGCTGCGTAGGCGCGGCGCGGGTGTTTGGTGGACGACTCACTTGGGTGGGCGACTCGCTTGTGAACCACGTTATTAGGAAAGGTTTTTCTGTTATTAAAATTAGGAAATTGTAGCATTATACTATAGGCAATAGTAGGACTTATAGGCCTATAATAGTTATTTAATATAAATCTAATATCTAGCTAATTTTAAGCTAACAGCTCTAACAGTCCTAACAGCTGTAATAGCTATAATAACTCCTAATCCTACTACAATAGTAGCTCTACTTAATAAACTATACTTTTATTATATTAATATACTACTAAGTCTCCTCTTTAAAATAAGCTATTAAATAATATTACAGCCCTATTAATAGAATAGTTATTAAGTATAGAAGGTTTTAAGCTTAATATTCCTTACTAAGACACTAAGTTAAGATTCTTTGCTAGGGCTCTAGTAGCCTAAATATTAGAAAATACAAGAATATTATTTAAGAATAGTAGGTAAACTAAGAATTCTACGCCTAGGCCTGCCTGTTCTGTAGTGTGTGCTTGTTAGCAGGTGCTTTGTTATGTGCTGTTGCAGCTGCTACGTCGTGTGCTGTTGCAGCTGCAGCTGATACATTGTGTGCTGGCGCAGCTGCAGCTGCCATGGTGTGCTGTCGCAACTTCAAAACACAAACCTTCAACAAACAAACCTTTAACGCTCTATAACTTGCGTTGTAGTAGGCCTACAATAATAATTTTTCGCTCATTTTAAAGCCACAATTTCGCTCTATCTGTGCATGAAATTTCGCAATTTTTGAAAATTTAATACTAGTGCTAGCAGAACTAAGGGTAGCTATGTAATAATATTGCAATATTATTTTAAGTTTATTAAATATAGGCACTTAACGTGCTTCACAAGCGAGCGGCGCACCCAAGCGAGCGGCGCACTCTCCCCACCAAAACGCTTGCGCAGCGACAACACGTAATGCCTCAACAACACCAAACCCAGAGACTCTATACTGAAGCTGACGTACAGCTTGCTATCTTAGATCTTTAAGAAGAGCAGTTTAAGAGTATACAGCTTGCTAAGAAAGTCTATAAGGTCCCTTAAACTATAATATAATAACAACGCAATAGAACACACTCTTAATACAATTGCAAGCTAAAATTAAAACGCCTTATAAAGCTAGAAGAGGAGGCAATTATACAGCGTATACTTGAAGAGAGTTTACGTGGAATACCACCCTTAAAGGTGCATGTACAAGATATAGCTGATAGACTGCTAAGAGAGCGTGGTGGGAAGCCTACAGGCAAGAACTGGGTTAATAACTTCATTAAGCGTACACTAGAGCTGCAAACGCGATGGAGCTGTCTGTATGATTGCCAGCGAGCTGCCTGCAAGGACCTAGCAATTATCTAGCCATAGTTTAGCCTAGTTTAATTAACAAAGGCAAAGTATAGTATTATAGATAAGGACACCTAGAACTTTAATAAGTCTAGCTTTATAATAGGCAAGATATCCTCTTAGCTTGTTATTATAGGCTTAGAGAAACCTAGGAAATAGAAGAAACTACAACCTAGTAATTGCAAGTAGGTTACCCTAGTATAAGGTGTTACTGTAATAGGGCATATAATCCTACCCTTCCTTATCTTTGCTAGCAAGGTCCTTATCTCCTCCTAGTTTACTAGTCTACCTTACAACTAGGTTATTATAGTCTCTCCTACTAGCTAGACTAATAACAACATTGCGCTAGCGTGGCTTAAGCATTTCAACGTCTATACAAAGGCGTCCTCTGCTAGGGCGTATAGGCTGCTCATTATTAACAGTCATGAGAGCCACTGCTTGATAGAATTCTAGGACTACTGCAAGGAGAACAAGATTATCACTCTCTGCATGCCACCACACTCATCACACATCCTGCAGCCTCTTGACATTGTCCCCTACTCGCTATTAAAGCGCCACTACAGCAACAGGATCTCGCTCTTAGCATGCAGCTGCATCTACTATATTAACAAAGAAACCTTCCTCCTAGCCTTTAAAGTAGCTTTTAAGAAGATGTTTACACTAGAGAACATTCGCGCAGGGTTTTAAGGCGCTAGACTAGTCCTGCATAACCCTAAGGTTGTGTTATTAAAGCTTGATGTACAGCTGCGCACGCCAACGCCACCTGCACTAGGCACTGTCGCCTAGGAGGCGCAAACACCGCGCAACGCCCGCGAGATAGAGGCGCAATCTACGCTGATTTGAAATCGCATACAAAACTATCAGGGGTCTCTAGCAAGTTTATTAGATAAGCAGGTTAAGTAGCTGTCGCAGCAGATATCATGCCTATTTACCAGCCAATTCAGGGGTGCAAATGTATGTACATTTTGCCTCTACTTTGCTTGCGCAGTTTCAGCGTCCGGGCTCATAACTGTTGCAGCCAAAATAGAGGCAAAATGTACATACATTTGCACCCCTGAATTGGCTGGTAAATAGGCATGATATCTGCTGCGACAGTAGCTAAGTAAAGGTGCTTAGCAGATAGCTTATAATATAGTGTTAGTGTAGGAGGAAATAGGCTGCCTTTAAGACACTGTTAACACACTTACAAAGCACAAGACATGTAAGAGGCAGTACATACGCGCAGAGGAGACCCTAATAGTTAGTAAGGTATCTAACTTAATTACTAAAAAGGAGGGTAGTAGTTATAAGGATAGCAAGACGCCTGCAAAGAGGGTGCGCGCAGAGAGGCGCTGCGGCTGTTGCAGTAAGATTAGGCATAACTCCTGCACCTGCAAGGTAGAAATAGAGGATGTAGATAATAGCAATGCTTATAAATAATATTATCCTGTTACGTATATTATAGGAATTTGTGATGGTGTTGCACTACGTCGCGGTGCGTGCGCTGCGCTCGAGAAAGTGCGCCGCTCGCTTGGGTGCGCCGCTCGCTTGTGAAGCACGTTAGCGTTTTAGCTATTAGCAATGTTAGCGCGAAATTAGGGCTGTTAGGCGTAAATTAGGGCTGTTAGGGCTGTTAAACAGCTGTTGCACAACTATACTACAACTGTTAGCAATAACGTAGATTATCACCAAGCCGGCCATATCACTGAACTGGCCACTTTCTCTTAGCACAACCACCTTTTACCCTAACACAACATGCCTTAACAACAACAACTTTAGAATACTACTAGAGAAGGTAGAGTTATCCTTGCTATCTAGGCCTTCTATGCTGGCCAATTTCGCAGTATCTGCAGCACTGCTAGAGCGTTGAACATACCTTATTAGTAGGTCTCTAATTGCCTTTACAATATTACATTTTAACTAGACATACGTGCTAATTGCTAGAAACTTACTATACTAGAGGAGCAGATAATTATCTAGTATATACTTAACCTTAATTTGTAAGGATTTGCGCCCTAGCTATATAAGGTGGCAGATATAGCTAATAAGATACTTAGTGTGCGTAGTGAAGAGCCTATTAGTAAACTATAGGCTAGCAGGCTTGTAACACGTTTAGACAAGCTTAAAATGGCCTTTAATTAAGCTAAGGATAGACAGAGGATACTATAGGAAGATCCTAAGATAATTAGTGCATAGTTTAAGCTAGTAGAGGATACTTAAGTTAAGTATAGTATTTGCAATAATAACATACACAACTTTAATAAAACTAGGTTCTAGATAGGCGTTGCTTTGTCTTTAAAGGTTGTAACAGGCTTAGAGAGACGTGCTCAGCCAGAGCTTGTTCAGCCAGGTGATTGCGAGTGGGTTACCGTTATCCAGAGCATCTGCGCCGCTGGGTATGCAACCCCGCCTTTTATCATCTACAAAGGACGCGTCCACATCTCTGCCTAGTATAAGGAGATAGATATACCCTACAATTAGAAGCTCTTAGTCTCTAAGAATAGTTAGACAAATAACATGCTTAGCCTTAAGTAGTTAAAGCACTTTAACACGCATACAAAGACATATTAGGTAGGAGTATATAGGTTGCTTATCTTAGACAGCTATAAGAGCTATCTTAACTAGGAGTTTAAGGACTATTACCTAGAGAACTAAATCCTTACTCTCTATATGCTACCTTACTTATTACATATCCTCTAGCTACTTAATATAGTCTATTTCTTGCTATTAAAGTGTAAGTACTCCTAACATATTTAAGACTTAGCACACTAACACATCTTCTATATTAATAAGGAAGGCTTCCTACTAGCCTTTAGGGACATATTTCTTAATATATTTATAAAGGTTAACTACTAAAAGGCCTTTAAGGTATTAGGGCTTATTCCTACTAATAAGTAGGTAGTGTTAGATTACCTTAAAGTGCAGCTGCATACCCTACTAGCAGTACCTCTACCTAAAACACTATAGCAATCTAAGACACTAAGCAATATACACAAGTTTAGGTCTTAATCTAAGCTTGTAAGCAACTCCTTCTAACAATTACTAAGTGTAGTGCAAGAGGGGTTCTTAAAGCTTATAAAAGGGGCTAAAGAGATACTGCATAAAAACATCCTTATTAAGGCCTGCGTGCGAGAGCTTAAAGAGCAATTAGCAGTAATAACTAAGAGAAAATCGCGTAAGAGAAAGCAGATTCAGCATAGTGGCACACTTGAGTATGGCCCAGCAGCATCGCGGGTAGCTGCTGAGGCGTGTGTAGCAGCTCAGCCATCTAAGAAGACTTAGGGTAGAGGTGGTCAACTAGGAGCTTAGTTAACTGTTTAGCGCTGTAGGAACTGCAGCAAAACTGGACACAACGCACAAACGTGCTAGGAGGGTATAGAAACATCTTCTAAATCTAATGCAAGCACGCAGTATGCTAGGTTACTATTTAATAGCAAGTAGTTGTAGTTGTAGTAACTTGTGTTAGTCGTGCTAAGAGAAAATGGCTGGTTTGGTGATATAGCCGGCTCGGTGATAATCTACGTTAGCTAGTCTAGGCTAGATTTTGAAAAACTTTTCCTAATGTACCTATACTACTATCTAGCTGTAGCGAAGGCGTAGCATATACTAGTGTGCTTATTAGGGATCTAGAGGCCTTTAAAGCCTTCACCTAACTTACTTAATACTACACTAAGGTCTGCCCCTAGTAGCTCACCCTGTGCTGCAATAGCAGCAGACAACTGTACTCTTTCCTTACTCTCCTTCTTACTCTCCCTCTCTCTTCTACTCTTACAGCATTCTACTGCCTTTAAACACATAAAAGGGATTCACCCTAATATATCTACACTGCTTAGTCTCCCTAACTAGTAGGGGAGCTATAGCTTAAAATAGTAGCAATACCTGCGCAGGCAAGAAATGCTTTCTAAGGTAGTGTGTTAGTACTGTAATCCTATAGCTTAGCCCGTCATATATGCCCTTTAGGAGGCAAGATAGTGGACTTAATCCCTATTATCTAGACGTAAAATGAATACTAACCAACTAACCAACCACCTAATGTGGCTATTATACTTTAGAAGTTTAAGAAGAAGCCTAGCAAGCTGCCACGCACTCTATCTTTATTACTTAACGTTAATTAGCTTACAATTAAACAGTTTTATAAGGCAGTAGTAAAGGATCACACAAGTAATAAGGCAAGGAAGCTAGTGTGCATGTTTAACTACGTAGCAGCTTACAACGCGCTTCTTAAGGTAGAAAATAAAGGCCTCTGCGCCTAAATTAACACTAAGTAGACCTCTAAGAAACACATCTCACCCTCGTGTGCGTGAGATGGCTACCCGAATCCTCCGTATGAATGGCGACACCCGCCCACTTGGCAGGCGATGGATACCTCAGTTTCTTGCACGCAATCAATGCGTCGCCTCTATAGTAGGGAGTAAGATTAAGAGCGCGCGTACTACTGCTGCCAATTACAACACTATAAACAAGTGGCTAGAGCTGTTTGAGCGCACCCAAAAGATGCTAGGTATACCCTAGGCTGGCGGAATGGGTATACTCCAACGTCCTTCGTGGGTACCCCCCAAAACTTTGT